CCTCCACCTGTCACACTGTTGGCCACGAGTATTAACATTACAGTTCTCAAAATTTCATCCTTCCTCAACTGGTTCATACCTCCATATGGATCTAATGCCGACGACAACGTAACCGGAAAAAGATTCGTTAATGAATGAATAATATCTTTCATTCGAGAGAACCCCAGATGGGTGTGGGTGTGAGTGTTATTTTTTCACACACTCCACAGCAACATCCACGTCTACACCCACACACCCCAGCCACATCCCACAGCCACACCCGCATACAAAATTCAGTATATCGAACTGAACCTCTGTTTTCTGTTCTGTGAACCCTACTCGAAATAACACTCGTAGATGGAGAATCAAGCTCTGCATCGAAAACCTTCCTTTAGAGGCTCACTACAGATTAGACAATGAATTCGAACACAAAAAACTCATATCTATTATTAAGACTACTCCAGTTGCAAATGTTTTAAAGAAGGTCAGATCACTTTAAAATGTTGATTTAATTCTTTGTCAAACTTGATTTTCACGGAATAAAAACTACGCTTCCGATTTCGTCTAAAACTTTGAAAACCTATAGGTGCGTGATGTCCATTTTCTTGACACTGTTTCAAATTTAATATGAAATCATTTTACAGAAATGAGGATAATTCGATTACATTTAATCTTATGTTCTTTGAAGATGTTCATATATGAAGTTAAATGTTGAAACATTGGTGGATGAAACAATCCACCCATCCACACATCAATATTGAAAACTCATTTTGTTAAAGCTCACACTAATGGCATTTATGAATTTGATTATAAAGTTGATAGCGGTGTCGTTTATACAAATATTACTTGTATGAAACTTGTCGAGTTTAGGAGTGACACTTAAACTTTACTTTAAAATTAAAGTTAAATTAATTTTTTTAAATGTTTTTTCCTAAAAAGAGAAGCATTACTTTTAAAAAATCAACTTTAAATTTAACTACTTTATTTTTAAAAGCTTAAGGTTAAAGTGTCACCTCTACTCGTGTAAAAAAATTGTCTCAATAATCACAAAAAGTCTGATTTTCAATCGATTAGAATCATAGAATTCTTAATCAATAATTTACACAGAAGTAATCAGAAAAAAGTCGGTTAGTTTTCTTGAATTTGATTATAATCGATTTTTAATACAGTTTCAAACCGATTAGAATCAAATTAAAAAAAATAGCCGATATTTTTGTGATTATTTTTGTGTAAATTATTGATTAAGAATCGTATGATTATAATCGATTAAAAATCAGATTTTTTGTGACTATTTTTTTAGATGAGTAGCCCTATTCAAAAACAAATATTTTTTTTTTGTTAATTTTCTTTTTTAAAAATACAGAAAATAGAACTGTTTGAACAGACATGTTTTTTTTTTACTCCGCAAATAAGCTTATCTTTATTTTCCTATTTTTCAAACTTATGCTTCTCTCAATTTTCTTTGTCATGACCTCGTGTTCTTTATATCTTGTCAGAAGAAGAGCTATTGCAAAAGAAAAAGAAAAATTGCACTTGCTTCTCATTTGTTTCACTACATACATTAGTGAGTTTAGCAATCTTTATTCTTTCGCTGAAAAATAAAAATACTGAATATCTTTGATAGAACAAAAAAGAAAAATCAAAAGATTCTAATAATCTACTTACACTTGAATATAACTTTAACTTTCGATAATAGTTTTTGTTTCATAAATGAGTGAGTGCATTTCGTTTGAGTTTATATGTGAGTTCTTTTGGGTTTTTTCCCAGATGACGTTTTTTCCCACTCGTTGTTCTTTTTCGTCATGGTCACCTTGCCAACTACCTTGAATGATGAATTTCACATGATAAGATTTCCAGTTTATTCTCCCAAATGAAATTACATCGAACTATGCAGAAAAAGAAAGATAAAGAAGGGTGTGGGTGTATGTGCGGGTTTGGGTTTGGGTCTTTCTTCTATCACATCCACCCACATCTACACACCCACACCCACCCTCTCAATATATTTAATGAAAAAGTTTGTTGATTTTTAAAATTGATTTATATCAATCAAACAATGATTTTCTTTCCTTCCATATATTAGATATAACATATATTTTAATATAAGCTCCAATAAATATGAATGATATTCACATTCATTTTATCGACATTTGTAGAATTAACCAAAGTAGTATATATTCAGCGAGATACATAGAGATTTAAGAAATGATTGCTTTTATTTTCTCTACTGGAAGGAGTATTATGCGTTGACGTCGTGAGAAGCTACTAGTAGTGAGTATTCGTTCGTTTGTTTGTGTGTTCTGTACAGAACGAAAGAATTTTTTTGTCCTTTTCAATTCAATAGAGAAGAAAAGAAATAATTCAGTACAAGAAATTGAAGATTTATTTTTTAATGTTAATTTTTATTTGATTTTCAATGATTGAGAAAAACATGTGCTACAATGTGTGTAGAGAGAATATTTATCTATTCAACTGTATTTTTCATTTCTGAAAATCTCTTTTGGTGCCATTTTTACAGTCATTTTAGTTAGAGCTATCTGTAGCTCTGTCACATAGCCCACATGAGATGATTTAATAATCACAGGTATTGTACACATCAACCGTAAAAGTTAATTTTACAAGCTTTTCTAAATGGCTTTTGGAAGAAAATCATATAGTTTGATATGTTATTATTTTCAAAATATTACTACATGATTTTTGTATCATTCTGATGTCGAAATGTTACTCTGGTCAAGCTATAAAAATCCATCCTATCAAAAAGATATTAAAAGAAAAATTTCCACTATAAAGCAAACAGTGTTAGAAAAAAAGAAGATTATTAATATATTTCAACTTTTGTTAACTTTAACCATTCCGAAAGAATTCAACAAAAGTAAAGGATGTTTTTTGTTTTTAACTATTATGGATTATTTTTATTATAGAGAAAACTCGTGAAGAAAAAAAATGATTCTTAGTTAATCCGTCATAAAATATTGGTTTATTATTTCAGATGCAACTTTTTCGCGATTGTAATATCATTCACTTATACTACGTCCCTGAGTGAAAATCCCAACGTATACTATTCAAATTTTGTTAGATGAAATAGTGATTTCTATTGCAATCATTTTCCAGAGCATATTTTTAGCTAATTATTGTTTGCTTACAGCTAGAGACACTACATTAACATAGTGTATTTGATAGGACCCCAAAGTGAATGAACTAAATCGTTAGAAGCACTACTACTGATTAGTAAGGTAGACTTGAACATTAAAGTGGCTAGCCGTGAGTAGCGCGCCGACGAACGACTAGATATTGATCTGAAAGATCCATCGCACGTATGCTTCTGATATATAGATGAACGAAATCCTTACCATGATAACCAACTTTCAGTAGAAGACTTAGAGATGTTTGCATTGCATTACTTGTCGTAATATCTGTTCATCGAGACTGAGTCAATGAAGATGAAATTCTTCAGCTATGTTTAAATAGGAATCACCGAAGAATATTATATTTGAATAAAGGGTTTTGAGAGAAATCGAAGTTTTATTGTCTTTATAAAATGTTCCAAGTGATTTTGCTCGTTCAACAAAAATTATACTTGCTACATAGTTTTCAAATCTGTGGATAGACATACTTCTTTATGTGAATAAAAACCAAAAATAGGTCAATTTGAAATGTAACAAAAAGAAAATGAATGAAGTTATAGGTAGAAAAATGAAAACATATTTGGAAGATTTCAAAAAGCATTTGATCTTATATTTAGTACTGATGACTGACAATCAGCTAAAAACACAGCATAGCATTGCAGAAATCGCAAAAAATATGATACTTTATAGAACAAGAGAAATAATACTTAACTGTTTTGGTGTTCTTCTTCGTGCTCATTGTATATCGCAGAGCAAATCTGATTGTTTTCTTTAAAAAGAAGTTTATTTCTGTTCGAGTAGGTTCAATACTGATGAATAGAAAACAAGGACCACACATTTTCACTAAAAATCTCTGTTTTATTCTAGCACAGCTGTGGATTCCGAATGATAGTGCCAATACAAGGTGGATACAAAACGGTATTACAGTGGCTGGAGGAAATGAATGGGGTAATGGATTGAATCAACTCGCTAGGCCACTTTGTATATACGTATGTTGATGATGATCAAACAATCTATGTGACTGACCATTTCAACCATCGTATTGTAAAATGGGAAAAGGGTGCAATGAATGGCGAAGTTGTAGCGGGTGGAAATGAGCAAGAAAATCGAAATGATCAATTAGATGGTCCACTGAAGGTAATTGTTGATAAACGGAGTGATTGTCTTATCATCTGTGATTATTATAACAAACGAATAGTACGATGGCCTGGTCAAAATGGTACTAGTAGAGAAACAATCATTTCGAGTATTGCCTGTTGGGGTATGGTAATGGATTACGGTGGATATCTCTATGTCTCAGACTATGAAAAGCATGAAGTGAAACGATGGAAAATCGGCGACATTGATGGAACAATAGTAGTAGCTGGAAATGAACAAAGTGGTGGTTTCAACCAGCTTAGCTATCCTCACTACATCTTCGTCGATCAGAATCATTCAGTATACGTATCAGATTATGACAATCATCGTGTGATAAAATGGATGAAAGGTGCAAAACAAGGTATTGTTGTTGCTGGCGGCCAAAGCTCAGGAAATGATCTGAAACAATTGGCATGTCCTCATGGAGTAATGATCGATGAGCTACGTACTGTCTATGTTGCAGATCGGTACAATCATCGAGTAATGCGTTGGTTGAAAGGAGCTACACAAGGTAGTGTTGTTGTTGGTGGACATGGACAAGGAGCACAAGCAAATCAATCCAATTATCCTTGTGATTTGTCCTTCGATAGACAAAACAATCTTTACGTCCTTGATTCTGGTAATCAGCGAATACAAAAATTCCATATTGACTTTAATTAGAGTTCATAGTTATAATATGGTTGAACAAACCAATCATGAGCTATCTTGTTCGTTTGTGCTTCTGTTTTTTGTCAAAAAATAAATCAATCGCACTCAACTTGATTAATTTTTATGTGTTTTAAATTTTGTTCTAATTGATGATTTAGACATGATTGTTTTGCCGAAAGATTTCTCATTCAAGTCTCTGCAAAACTAATTAGGAATGGTCTTTAGCGTTATCCCAAAACACAGAGCGCTTAATAGAAAAAAAAAATCTATAGAGATGCGCGAGTACTGCGTGAAAATGATCGAATGAGACATTGTACATTGACTACCAGCTTATCCAGGTATCAAATATGACTATTTTTTTGGATATTTTTAATTTGTTTATTTTCAAGAGCTTCCATTCGACCTTTTAAATTAGCTATAACTTAGAACATCTGTATTTTTCTTTGATCTTTGAAAATGTTTATATTTTTGACACATCTATAAATGCATACGGTAATAGCAACAGTCGTATCTTATAGTTGTGTCAGTTTTCTCTTACGAATGACTTGTCCAATGAGTTGTACAATACCAACATTTGCTCCATTAGTTAACAACCAAGTATCTGAATAGATTAGTGACTGACAAAGTAGGCAGATGAAGAGAACTTTTCTTACTTGATTTACTCACAAACTTTACAAAATCATCAAGAAAATTAACTTCCATTTTTCCTCGTAATTTAAAGTATTTATGTCCGCCTGTTACTTGCATTATTAGTGAAGGACGTGGAATGCGCCAAATATAAAGTAGTATTGTTTCGACAATAGATGGATCAGTTTCAATATCACATCGTACATACTATTTCATTAAAATTAAACAATCAAAGACGAATATAATTTTCTTACTGGTGCTCTATTTATGAGAGAAAGTCCTTGTTCTTTTGTTGAATCTTTCATCGTATGAATATCTTCACAGCATTTTTCATTCGATTGCCATTGCTCATTCATAGTGAGATGTTCATCTTTAGTTCGATTACAATGACATAATTTGTCATTTGGACTATAAGAAACAAAGGAAGTGTTATGTATATATATATTTGTATCAATACTTGTCGGGAAGAAAGGCAATACATCGACGACGATTAATAGGAAGTGATTGGAATGCAAAATCATATTGAGCTGGATTCTACAAAAAGAATATTTAAATAGCAAGAAAAGAGAAACGAGAATAAAATCAGCATACATATTTACAGACAAAGTTTCTTCTCGACATAGTTTTTGTTTGAAATCTATATTTTTGAAATTACTAATGTTAATATTTTGTTTTTAATAGAAGAAAAAAAAGTAGACAACTATTTAAAAAGTACTTTTGTGTAAAAGAATAACAGGAAATTTTCCATGCTAACTCTACTTGTAATATATTTGTTACAATCAACGAAGCGGAAGTATTGCAGCACACTTTTCATAAAAAAGTAACAACGTACTTTTATTCTTATTACAAAGGAGTGTCGCACTTGTTTGTGTAAACGTTAAAAAATGTAGTTTTCTTCGAAGCGTATGCAAAAAAAAAGTCTTTTTTTTCCCAATTATTTACAATGCATATATATAATTATATATGAAAACCTCTTTCAAAGAAGCCTCGCCGTAGATAAACAATTTATTTGAATATATGCACCAGGTTTTCTTTTGAAACTGTGCACTTCTTTTTTGTTATTTTTCATGTAGCATTCAACATTAAAAAATACAATAAGATATTCACGTATCAGATATCATAACCAAATATATCCTGAGATCAACAAAGCTAGCAAGTAATCGATGATTCAGTTGGTAGATTGAAAGATTTTCGATAGATTTTGTCGGATTCTTTTAAACGAGTTCACCGATTGAGGTGCCTATGGTCATAATATTTCTAAACTTTTTCTCATTTCTTATTTAATAAATTAGAAATACTAAAATTCAAGTTATTGACAACTTCTTTTTTAAATATTTGTTTATTACGAATATTTATATCCGTTTTCAAACTAAAAATCTGTATATGAAATGACAAATGAAATTCTGAGCCATTCGAGAGATTCGTATGAACATGAAATGAAAACAATGAAGTGAAGTAAATGTTTGTTCATGTTAAGAGACAGATTGTGAACAATTCCTCATCAACCGATTTTTGTTTACTAGGAATGAGAAGATCAACCATTTGAATTTTGTTCTTGATCAAGTAATTGTTTTTGTTTTTAAGTATTGCTAAAATTCATTATGCTCAATATAACATTGATTACCTTTATTTATCAAGAAGATGATGCTGTTATTGGTAATTAAAATCGAAAACGCCTGAATTATGATTTTACACACCTATACTCTACTAATCAATTTTGTATAAGATAAAAAGTCTGAATACATTTCTATGTCATTCATTATGAGTAATTGGCTTTTGAATACTTCTTTCATTCAGTTCAATTCTATTTTTCATTGATTCTTGATAAATTCCACCGAATGATGAGTTAGCTGATGCGAAACAGTTCGAGACTTTAAGAGAAAAAATGTTCTTCATTTTTCACTATTTTTATTCTAAAAGAAAAATGTCTATAAAAAGAAAAGATTAAATAGTAGTATTTATTTAAATTAACATAAGCGCGCACAGACACACTACCAAACAGCACATTTTTTAACTCGACTATTTCCTTGACCAGGTATGCAGTTGAATACACGATCGAATTCAGCAAAATTCGACAGTGGACCAAGAACTCTAAAAATAAGACAAAAATAAATGTATCAATGAATAACAAAATAAGAAATGAAAAGATTATAAAATACCTAAATTGTGCAAGAGAATGTACGTCTGTTAAAACTCTATTTAAAGCATAAGCATCAGTAAATTTTGCACATCATCCATGGGTATATCCAATAAAGAACATTTGTTCTTGAGAATATTTACTTAGGCCTGGTAATCTTTTGTCAACATTTGGATTTTTCTTTACCCAATTTTGATAAGCCTATTTAATAAAGATTTACATTTTCAAAATTTTCAACACATGCATATGATTGACTTGCAAAGAATGAACTTTTGATACCACCATTGTCAGCAATATTTTCTCCTTGTGTTTGTTCACCATTCAACTAAAAAGAAATCATATCAATTTATCATCGAATCAAAAATAAAAATAAAAGGGACATTCTTATGGATTTGTTCCACTGTATAGTTGCTATATTGATCAATGATGCATTGTTTACGTTCATTAAATTGATTTATTGTACTATTTGACCACCAAGGAACTCGATTTCCATTTTTATCATATTGACGACCATCATCATCAAATCCATGTGTTATTTCATGTCCGATTACCATACCAATAGCTAAACCAAATAACTTTTTTCTAATCAATGACAACTAAATTAATACATACCACCATAGTTAAGATACCTAAAGAAAAAATATAAGAAAAAAATAAATAAATAGCTTTCAAAAGAAAAAAACTCAAATTTACTTGGGTGCATCTTTATTAAAATACGGCATTTGTAGGATAGCAGCTGGAAAAGCTAATGAATAAAAGAAAACTAAAATTGATTTTCTAAAATTCTTTAAAAGAGAATAAAATATTACAGAGAGCATTTGTCGGTGGTTCATAGAAAGCATTGACTACAGTTGGAGGAAGATCACCCCATGAACGATGATCAACAACTTCACGAAGTGTTCGAAAATCTTCTTGAGCATTAACTCGTTGCATTTCAAGAACATTATTAATATATGATGCATTAAAAACATACTAAAATTTTTCAAATAACAACAAATATTCGAAATTTATTAAATCCATATACGATAATTTTACTTCAGTATACATTTTTTCCAATTGTGTTATATTATCACTAGCTACATAATCTGGATAACCAATATTTTCATAGATAGCTTGAGCCTACAAAGAAAATAAAATGTTAGTTATTAATTTTTGAAAAAAAAAAATTCCATAACTTTATCAATAGCTTTTTGTTTTGATTCATTATCCATCCATGACGCTTGTTGAAGCATAGTCATCATTGAACTTCGAATATTTTTAATGAGCTCTTTTGATTGATTACGAGCATTATCATCAAAATATTTTCTAATATAAAGTCTAGAAACTGCGAAACCCATATTATTATTAACGTAATTAGCACAAGTTGTTGCACGTGCTGGTTCAGAACTTATGCCATAAAATACTCGATCAAATTGTTCGCGAGTACTTCGAATTCGTTTTGGCATACTACTTGCTCGATTCATCATAAAACGCCAAATTAAATAATTTTGAACAACACGTGCTGGAGTTTGCTCAAGAATTAAAGAAAGATTTACTAAATATGCAACTTCACTGACAGATACGATGTCGGTATCAAGTAAAGTTACATTGTCAATGAGATACGATTGACGAAGGTAATTAGTAAAATCAAACTATTGATTTATATGGGTTAAAAAATCAATTAGATAATTCAGAAAAATACTTACATTAGATTTGAATGAATTAGAAAGATTTCCAACAATTGTTTGAATAGTTTCATTAACTCGAAGTAGTTGTTCATAGAAGGTCCAATGATACTAAAGGAATAAAATATTATACTAAATATCGAAAAAAAATAAAGAGAAATTACTTGAGAAATATTTTTTTCAAATAAATAAATGGCAAGAACATCAGCTGCAATTGATGATGTTTCATTTGTCAATTGCGAAGCGAAATCATTCATAAACTGACGGTAAGCTGCAGTAACATCCGTTTCAATATTGTAATATTCTCTTTCTTGTAAACCGAGACTACCTTGTCCAAGCTGAAATATTTTCTTTAAAAAATGTTGAACAAATATTATTTCTTACGCCAATGTCATAAACTGATACATTTTTTTGATCAGTTGCTGTAGCAACACTAAAAACGATTCCATTATCGTATTTACGCAGTTTGAGTAAAAGATTGGATAAGTTAAAAGTCGAAACATTCCATGAAGCACCTTGTAAAATAGGCCATCCACCAAGCTCAGTATTAATGATAGAGAGAACGAGTTCGACACCATCAATTTCAATATTTGTTTCATTTATACATGATTTGTATAAATTACGAGCATTAATAACAGCTTTTGGTTCAACGGCTCCATTTCCCGGTGTTGGTGATAAAAGATCTTAATAGAAATAAGATTAGAGTTGGATAGGACATTTTTATTCATACCAATTATGTTGAAATCTAATTGTGTATCCAAGAGATTGAAGATATTTTGAACACCGGCTAAAATAAACTTACAATTTTGCTTTTTCATGTAAAGATGGCTACGTACTATCTTCAGGGATTCGAGCATTTTTCAGCCATGTTCCACAAGCAAAATGGTAAAAATCTTCACACGGTTCAACTGTTTCATCGATACTTTCGATTAGATAGTAGGCTACAAAATAAATAATTATTTTTTATTGATTTTCTTACAAAATGATATGTAAGTTACCTGCTTTGATACAATATGGAGTCAAGCATAAGTCTTGATCGACTGAAATGAAAGAATTAGCAGATCTGATGTCAAAGCAAGAACAATACCTTTTGCTGTTGTTGTTAATGGTGTTGTAGTTGTTGTTGTTAATGGGGGTGTTGTTGTTGATGGTGGTGTTGTTGTTGAAGGTGGGAATATTGTTGTTACTACAGTTGTTGCTGCTGGTATCCTGTTTTCTTTTATGCCATAGAGAGTAGCGAGCACAATTGTGGTAACGACAAAAATTCCAACAAGAACACTGAGGAGTCTGGGAAGTGTGATCAAACGAAATCCAGATTTCGGTGGCTGGCTGAAATAAAACATATATGTAGGGTGCACTACTCCAAACATTGATATTGAATTCCTCCTTTTCAGGTCAAGATTATGATACATGCCTGATTATTTCCACCGTTCCCTTACTGAATCGACTTGTCATATTTGCGATTCAAGACAGTTCGTGATTTGCTAACGTGCTTGACAAGTTTCAGTTGGAGACACAAAAAACCAGAAGTGAAACTATGACTAAGACCGAATAGATAAGGTTTCAACAAGGAACACCGTTCCTCTATGCGTAAGCACAGACACGAAAAAAAGTCTCATACTTGTTTGATTGTAATGATAAGATATGAGAAAAAAGCATAATCATAGTCGTTCTTCACACTCGAAGCAGAAACAAAAAGTTTGTGTAGAAAAGCCAAACAATGATGCATTTTGCTTCTGAATCTGGAGATCTTCTTCGAACGCACCAGATTTTTGGCCTGTTTTTGAAAAGATACCGAAATATCAACGATTAACATGTGATCTTTCGAAATGAGGGTGGGCTGTGAGACAAATTACCACAATACATATAGATATTTCACTATTACTGATAAGGATTATCAAGTGGCATCATACTAGTATAAAAGATTCATTTTCGAAGAAGTAAATCAATACAAGTCAGCGAAAAAAGAAATTCTTATGCTGATTAAAACAGATAAAATCGTTCTTTACATACAGTCACCGAAGATGGCTACGCTTTCACATGTTATCTTGAAAGGACACCGCTGGATAAGGTCCAAAATCGATCCCTACTTAGATCTTCATTTAAATATGCCAAAAAGATAGCCCGTGTGTTTTGACATAGGTCTGTATATTTGTTTCTTCAGAGACCGTCAAGAAAAAAATTTCCAGATAAATTTCTCTGTATTGGTCCCTTTGGCCTATTCTACTTTCTGTCTCAGGTAGTTTCTGTGGGGTCAAATCTGTTGTGGCAACTGATAGCCTAGATCGATGCGGTTCTAGGTGGACTTCAAAACGGTGTATAAACATTGGCTAGGACTTGTTTTCTTCTAGATAGACGGTTACTAAAACGGCCGATGGGTACCGTTCACTTATGACTGAGGTCAATAGTAATACATGCCGAAGTGACCTTAATTCGCTTTGAACACGATAGGGATTTCCCCCAAAACTGCACCGACTCTTCCGCTAAAAAACCATGTAAAAATGAGCGAAAAAAGGTTGTTCCCCAAAACCACTTTTTTTCGAAATGCTGTCAATAAGTATCATTATGAGAGAAGATCAAAAGCTCGATCTCGGTCCGTTGAGCTGAAATTTTAAGTCTGTCACGATATTCGTGTTCAGGGTCGAAAACTAGGGTATGGATGTGTTAAGCTACCATGATATCGATATTTCACCTAAGCAACTAGGCTCTTTAGATGACATATCTATTAGAGATTCAAAAAGAAGAGTCCAAACAAGATATGCCTTTATGGTTAAAACAAATCTTTAAAGAATGAAGAGATGCTACAATAAAATCAGTCGATTCTATCAGGATAAACTACGATGGTATATCTTCTGATATTGAGTATAGATAGGAACATTATGTAGTCAAAAAATATAAACTGGATGAGGGATGAGAAAAAGAGTACTTTGCAGTACTTACCTTAATAAGAAGAATATTGTTCGCAACAATGAAGATACGATAATCAAAATGATTCCTTTTTGTTGGATATCATCGACTTTTTATATTGCTGAACAGTAAGACAGAGAGAGAACGATCGACAGAAATCGAAAGAGAAAAACGAACATATGTAGAAACTCTCATTGACGGTTGGTTGAAAAAATAGTTCTCGATGAAAAAAAAATTCAAAGAAAGAATTTCAGAGAGAAAAAGATAGATAAAAAGATAGTCAATGAACTGGAAGGTGTATAATTGTTCAGACAAATTGATCGATCGATGATCTATTGTTCAAAAAGAAAGGAACTCATTGAACATGTCATCCATCGATTGATACTTAGTTATTGACCAGACATGTCAATGTAAGATCAAAAGGACGTTCTAAATGGACGAAAACAAAAAATTTCATCAATCATGTTTAATCGATTAGAAAAGTTTATTTTGATTGATCACTTTGATTATTCATCTTGTTTGTGTTCAAAAGATAGGGGACTATAATAGCCCCAAAGTTGCTGGTTCCATTCCATTGTCTTCATTGTACAGTTGATAGATTCAACTATTTAATTATAATATTGCTTAGTTCAAGTACTTAACAACTGAATTTTCACACTTTTCAACTATGTGTGTTTCTCGGATGCTCCTATCGAAATATTTCGAATGTATCTATGTTTTCTAACCACTCACACTTGTTGCTCTATGTTTTGAGGATGATGATATGGGTAATGATATTGTCTGTAGAATCTGTCACATATCTATATACTTTTGTTCAATGCATTTGTAAATTAGGCACATATCAATCAGACATGTATATAATTGAATGTTGTTTGTTATATATCGAATACAAAAAATTTTTCTAAAATTGACATTCATTTGTCCGTGTTACTCTCTATCGGACGGCCTCTGACACACAAATACAAATCCTATTTAATAGAACAGCAATTGAAAATGAATCTGTATAGTTGATACACATAGAGAAGATATCATTTGTTGGTAATACAGTGAGACAAAAATGTTCCATTTGCATTAAATTATTTAACCCTTTGGGGACGGGAAGCCTATATATAGGCAGCGGCTTTGGACCGGATGATAACCGACTTACGCATATGTCTCTTATGATACTGTTATAATCTATATGCTGCACAGGCCATAGATCTGCCATGTCCGATGTAGTGTGACACTATCATGTGTATTGTACCCTCATTGATCTTGTTTCTAATATATACATCATTTTAGAGTTTCGGAAATCCCCATTCTTTTTCAAAGTAATCCCGTTCTCAAAGGGTTAAAGAATTATTTTCAAAAACATACATATTTTTGTTCATTCAATATAATTTTCATTACTGATTGTATAAGCCATCATTGTGGGTGTGGGTGTTATTCTTCTTCTAATAAACCCACACGCACACGCACACCCCACACCCACACCCTTTTCCTTTCGATCGAAAAAATTCTCAATAAAATCATATATAGGAAGCATCAGTCAAGCTCTGTTTATCAACAGTGTGAAAATTCAGTGTTGAATTGTTCATATTTGAAACATCATCTGCTTCCGAATGCTGTTAAGTGGATTCGAACTAGGTTACTATTGAAAAGATGAACGCACGACGTCCTTTTACCATTCGACTAAAATCTCATACCTTTTTTTAGAATTAATATCGATGTGAAGCTAGCACAGCACGAGAAATTAGCACGATGAGAAACAATATCCCATTAGTCATAGAACAAGTCAAGGAAAAAAAATTGAGAGAAACAGAATATCATTGTATGGAACGATAGCAAGGACATGGCTGTCCTTCACAACCACATCTAAAAGATATATATTTAATGGATTGACGCTCTCCCTATTGTTGCCTTTTTATACCTCCATCCATCATCGAATTTTATAAATTCATCATTAATAAAAAAAAAAGAACTTCCCTACTACATTCTAAGTATTTCCACCTTTGAAATCAAAACATCACGCGAATACACACCGCCAACAAATGTAATCGACTGCAACTATCCCTATGTGCCCATGCCATCTCTTTTTTACCAACTGCAGGGCATTGATCATAATGACAACTCTATCACAAACTGCGGTTACTCTGACGCAGATAAACGCAATTGCGTCGAATCACGCTTGTCGTACAAATATACTGTAACTGACACCAACCAATTACAAGTGACTCCTCCTGATTTGTCATTGATCAAACTAGCGCTAAAAATGAGCCACACAGAAACTGTAATAAAGGAAGTCTTCGTGAAATTTCGGTTCCTAATTCATTCCACTACCACAGATAGAATATGTATCTCAAATGTTATTTTTTAATTTTAAATATTCTACTTTTTTTATTTTTTTTTAATATCTATTGAATCATATTTATCCATATCCTTTTAACTTAATTTTATCTATCATAAGTGTTCATTTTTCTGAAGAAGATCGATTTCATTGATCAAAACGTCAAAAAAGAAATATTTCACTAAGTAAAACATATAGGAAGAGGACTCTTACATAAATAGTTTTTTTATTAGTAATTTATTTAAATTTTTCTACATTTTTAATCTTTTAGTTTTTCGAGGTTTTTAAAACTATTCTAACTTTTAAAAATGTTTTCTATTAGTAATTTTTTGGTATTTTTCGAGATTTTTAATTTTTCTGTTTTCTAAATTTTTTAAAATTTTGTGTTACTAAATTTTTTTTTATTTTTCAATTTTTCTAATTTTTTAATTTTTTGTAATTCACAATAAAAATAGTAATAAAATGAGGTAAAAAGAGTGAGCTTCACACGTAAACTCCAAATTTTGAACTCACGCAGGGTATGGGTGTGGTTGTCGGACTTCTCCGTTATGAGATCCACACACTCACACCACAGACCCCAAACCATAAACCTGCACTCACACCCACATCCGCACACCCACCCCCACATCACATCCACACTCACATCCAGACCCTAGGTAGAAGCAGTTTAGGCGAAAAACAAACACAAGTATCAGAACTGGGTATAGAACTGGAAAAAGAAAACAAACATTAAATTAAAAAAAAGACAAGGGCACAGAAGACAATACATAAAGGGATTGAAAAATACAAATATGAACTACAATGAGCAATTACAAACATCACAAGGGTGTAGGATGTGAGTAAAGAGAGGAACTAAGCCCACACCCACCCCAAGGAGAAAAAACCAAAATGTCGTACTTCAGTGTACTTCCTGTATTTCCAGACTATGTCATAACTGCGTATCAGATCTCTTTAGCTATTTCAAGTCTACTATCGACATGTGTTGTGGTATATTAGTCGGAGTCCAGCTTGTTTAAGTCAACCTTTCCCTAAAGCTCAAGTACTTTACTGCGCTTCCAAATTGAGAGTACAATGAAGTATTTGTATTCTTTTGTCAGACAGACTTGCGTAGGCTGGACTCCGGCTACTATACCATAACACAGGTTGATAGTAGACTTGAAATAGCTAAAGAGACCTGATTCAGAGCTATGACATAGTCTGAAAGTACAGGGAGTATGCTGAAGTATGGCATTTTCGCTTGTTCTCTCTTGACTCACCCACACATCAACCCACTATAGAAATGAAAGTTCTAACGCACACCTACCTGCAGCTACATAAGAAATCTTAAACTTTCGAACTGCTCAACAATAAGACGATATTAAAATGCACTTATATCACAAATCTGCATTGACACTTTTTTTCTTTCTTAATTTTAGTTTTGAAATGGTTCGATTGGTTTACAATGACTGAAGAAAAACTCAAGCTTCTTGAAAACCTTGTGAATAAAAATATCACTGATTTAATTACAGTTTTCAAACTAGAAAAAAGTAGTTTATACATGTATTATTTACCAAAACAATTATTCAGTACTCCTGACATTGACACATTGACGTACTTTATGCAAAATGATATTTCACAAGAAATAATACCATTGCCATTTCCGCACGAACGATCTATACAATTCGAAAGTGAATTAAAGAAAACAATATCAAAAGAAATGACAAATGATGAAATTCTAATTATAGGGAAATGTCTTTTCCAAACAACCAAACAAAAGCAAATTGTTCTTTTTGGTTATGATAGAAAAATAAGTGAAATAATGAAACAAATTTAAAATATTATCGAAACAAATATTCTAATTACATGCATTAAATCCAATAAGTACATATGAAGTAAGTAATGTTTGATTTTATTTCTATCAATTATTCTTTATTTGAATTTTTTCAAGATTGAATGTATTATTGAAACTCATTCAAATGAATTGACAAATATTGAAAGAAAATATGTAAAACTTGATGTTTGTTTACGATTAAGATTAAATGAATTTTCAGCACTTCGATATTTAAAAGATGAAATTGAATCTTCTATTCAAAAACTTTTACTTCAATCACCATCATCAACAACAACGCTCGAAAGTATTCCACTATTTACGCCTATTGCTGAAAAAGAGGAACAATATTTAAGATCTATTGCACAGCATAATCATTGTTATCTTAAAACTGAACTAAAACATTATTATCAATCGTATCCTGTACCTAAAGCATCGATATTCAACAAACAAATATCAAAATCAATAATAGAACAGTCCGAACTTTTTTGTTCTTCAACTGATATTTTAAAAAAATAGATTATAGTCAATGGGTCAATTGAACTTCATACTGGAGATATAGCTCTACAAAAAGTTCGTTCTACAGATCCTTTTAAAAAAATGTTCTATTGTTGATTGATTTTCAGGTTGATACAATAACCATTTCAACAATGTTCAATGGATTAAAAGATGATGGTGTTGAACGATTAGGTGAGATAGAGTATGAAAAAACTTTTTCAAAAATCGTTGGTACAATGTATACTGAAACAAATAGAGGTAAATTATATTGTAAAAGAATATTATTTTCCAATTGGTTACATAATCCATTAATAAATATCAAGTAACGCTCGTCTGAGTGACTCGCTTGATCCTCGACTGTATATTCGGCTCTTTCCATGCTTTATATCGATTTACAGTCTTCAACACAGCTAGTATCCAATGTTCCAAAAGAGTGGGTAGGTGTACGTAACCTGATATTAGCGTCAATCTCATTATGCACAATTGTATGCGGGTCCGGATGAAGGGTGTGGTGGATGTGAGTGGGTGGGTGGGTGGGTGGTGTGTGAGTGTGGGTGTTATTCTTTTCCTGATAAACCCACACCCACACCCCAACTACTTTTGTATTATTTTAGCAAATACAACAATATATCTAGGTGAATCTCGATGTGCTTTGAAAACTTGTCAAAATGATGATCTTTGTTTTGATTTCTCATCAGTTGATGCATATTATTATGTTTATTATTATCCATATACAGATGTTTATTGTCAAATACAAGAGAGATCTTTTTCTGAACATACATGTGATACTAAAACATTAGATATTGTACCACTCTATCATGGTTTTACATTGGATAAGGCTCTTCCTTACATTTGTGTATGTTACATAAAGAATGTTTCAGGAGACTCGTTTATAGCACTCAATAATTGTCATAGTGAACAATTATTTCATAAAGTTTGTGATAGTAATGAACCTTTTGGTGGCGCTTTATTATTTACTAATAAAGTCTTTTATATTTTTCCGTCAGATATGTTTAATGTGGTTGTAAAATCATGTGACATAGATCATGTATAGAATAGCATGCAAAAATAATGTGTACTTAAATAGGCACATTAATCTTAATGTTTTACCGTTGCCATGTATAGTGTTTTTTAATTATATGCATTTTTCTACAGACTTTTTGTTAACGTGATCTATAGAAGAGAAGAAATAATAGATGTAATTGGTTGATGAATAAACTGAAATAAATATATTTCAACAAATTCTTATAGTTGGTGAACAGATTTAGATCGATTAGAATGAAACTATGAATGACGAACTTTATTAATTATTATAACTGATAATAATGAATGTCATTCGATAATATTTTTGAATATAATCAAGTGTTGTAAAAGTGTGTTGATATGAATGATAGAAGATATTGACTTATAGACTCTGTTATCAAGATGAAAGATTTATGAGAATACATTAACAGTTATCATTTTCATTGCTATATCTTAAGTGTAACTATAACATTTTACATATGACAATGACTGTTATTTATCACAAAATCAAATATTTGACTTCACTAGTTTATATTAGACGCTCCCACACAAAAAACGAAGATCACGACAATTTTTTAATAAAAAGATGAGAAAAAATATAATTTTACCTCTTGAACAAATGTTCTTATGCAGCACATGAAATACACTATTTTCAATTTTCCAAATAGATTTCTTTCGTATGAGCAAAAACCGTAGGCAACCAGTGCTATTCCTATCATAGAAAATCTTAGTCGTACTCATTGAGATGAATAAAAAAGAAGATGTGTAAACTATTGAGTCATACTTTGGAATTCTCTAAGAAATGTTTGTTATTTTTTTTATCAGTGTTTCGCAGAGAAATCATAAAGCGAATTACATGAATGATATATGATAAGATTCAATAAGAATTCATAGGATCTCACTGTCGGATGGATTCTTGTATCATTTAGTCAATTATCATTGATTCGTATTCTAATTATAGTCAGAGTAAGCTAATTATATTATTTGTAGTTCGTTTAATAAAGAATTCTTGTAAAATTAATGTCTATTTCAGACATAAGTGGCTGTGAACATTCTTGGACTCATGCTTGATAGAAATGAGATAGAGATCTGCGATTTTCATCGTTAGAAAGATTAAATAAAGATATGTCGAATTTACCTAAAACAAGATTTTTCTAACTACTTTTCGAATGATTTTAGACAAATGCTTTCGAAGAATTGCACTGTTCTCCTAGATTTAAAAATAAGTGGGTTTTTTATTCAAATACTGCAAAGTCGTGATTTAATTTTGTGGGTCTTTGTTTGGCGTTCTAGAGTATTCCTGAAATTGAATAAATTATCATCGCAACCATTAGAGGCATGCTGATTTTCTTGAAGTTTTATGTGAAACTAGTAGAACAGTAATTAGAAAAATCTTTCTTTAGATGGTTCCATGCGTCTTTATCTGTTCTTTCCAATAGTGAAAATCTCAGGTGTCTATCTCATTCTTATCAAAATTTATTCAAAAAAGCTCATAACCACTTCTCTCTGAAATGAACATAAGTTATATTTGATTTATTTAATTGAATATATATGTCGAATAAAAAGAATTGTGACATTTTAAAATACTTTTAGAAAATGATAATATTAAACAAAAGTTTATCATCGAACTGAATTGTTTAAAAGTATTAGTTCGTTATGAATGATAATAATAATAATAATAATGAATTTCATTGATTTCTAAAATAATTTTATATTAATTGTAATAAAATCGATGACATAATAGAAGTTATTTATAGACTGAACATATATTCATTTATGTGTCTTTATTTATTTAAACTAATATATAGATTTATTTTGCTCTCTTTGATCGATTAATTATTAAATAATTGTAGAATGTATTCCACTTATTGGAGATGTTTATTTATTTCTTTATTAAATTAAAAATTAAGAAGAAAAATAAATTATAATAAATTTTATTTATTTTATAAATAATTAAGTAAATATTTTCAAGTATTTAAACACTTCTTTGGGTTATATTTTACATGAGCGATTATTGACAAATGTTGTGTATACTTCCTTTTTATCACAACAAGCACAATCGATAAAAATACGAAAAGACATGAGAAGCGCACCCCCAAACAAGAGAAAAAGCAAAAGATAGCATGCGCATCAATGATGCATAATAAGAAAAGAGGAAGGTTTACATAAATAAAACGCATTTATATCATATACCGACATCATTTATTGAATGGTTTTATTCATTTATGGTGCTCTTTAATATATAATGGAGCAAGAATACTCGAAATTCAACACAAACTTTGCTTTCAATCAAGTAAAGAGAAATCCTATTCGAATTGATGATGTTGATGATCAGAATAAATTTTCAACAATGTCGATCGAAACAAGAAACAATTT